CACGGCCTCAGAACATCAACTTCAAAATGTAAGCAAAACTTTTCTGGTACGCTATAGCTACAAATTTTATAAATGTTTTGTTTAATTAATTAGCTAAAAATACAATGTAAATAACATCAGTAATTGGACAAGAAGAATAAATAATTAGTTAATATTTAATATGAATATTTTAAAATAAAAATCAAATAAAGTATGCACTTTCTAAGTTAAAGTCAAATAAATAAATCAGTATTTATTTATATACATTTTTTATAATATTCTAAAATATATTTTTAATAAATGGCTAGCGGAAGAATTTATACATGATTTGATAATCAGAGTTTGTCTTTTTATTTCAATTATATACGATTCATGATTTAATCTCTTTTTATAATACATTTCAGTTCAACTTCCTGATACTGATATCTGTCAAAAAGCAAAAAGCCAAAAAATGAAAAATAAATAAATCTAAGCTTAATATATTCCAAATGAAAAGTGCAAAAGTTATGTCTTGTGTCATTTCTATTTTTCTGTATAAAGGCTGCTTCAGAACAGAGACGTCTGATGAATCCTCATTTTGAAGCGCTGTATTAAATTACACACGCATTTCTCAATGCTTTTTTAGTAATGCTCACGTTTTTCGCTTCTTTTTTAATATCGCACTCTTTCAACTGTCTTTCTTAAACTCATATAACTTCATTTTAGGTGCATGAAATTTCAAGACAGCACTTGTCTTTCACGAGTACATTAAAACGATGGTGCCAGAGGAAATGATACAGATTACACTCACTTTGATCCATCAAAGTGCAAAATCAGTAACTCATTACAGTTTTTGTAGGTTTAGAATACGGTTCATCAAAACGTCTGACACCATTGTGCAAAAAAAACTGGAAATACATCACTGTCTCTTTTACAATTAAAAAACGGTTTTGTTCCAGCCTTTGATCACACTTACAGTAATAAGAACTGACTCTTAAGAAAAAAAACATGATAATACCACTACTGTATATATGAATCAGATGTGAAAAGCGCATTTAATGCTAGCGTTTCTCTTCGCCCTTCTGCAGCCATTTGGCTGGGACTCAGACAGCTCTTTGAAATCCAGCTGCTGCTGTGTTATGCCAGGAGTCTTTCCCAATGGATTAATGTTATAAACACTTAGTGGCTGATTTATGATGGACACCTTCGCTTTTTTGACCTCTGAATATCCCTGTCTGAATATATAAATTTGTTGTGACACAGATTGGAGGGTTTACAGAAGTTTATGACATGCTAAATCTCTGCAAAGGCATGCCAGTGCCTTATTTTGTAAGCCGGACCGACGGCTGTTTTCATTGCTCTGATACAGCGCAGAGAGCCCAACGATGGTGCGCGGGCCTGCGACGAACGAGCATGGCTTCTTTGAGAGGTTAAATGAATGAGGTGCCATGCATGCGCAATTACGAAAGGCATTAATGTATGCGCTGCTTAGACCAAATCAAAATAATGCATATTGAATATTACTGAAATTAATACAAATAGCCCACCTCGGAGATCAAATTATGCTTTGGTTGTTCTATTGGCTCAGACATCAATAACAGAAGAGGGGGGTGGGATTGGCCTGCTAGCGTGGCTGAGTCCTAGTAGTGGATTATGGGAAAGGCTGGTGTATCTCATGTCTGTGGGAGTGGTGTCCTTGTGTTTGATCTTGTTCTCCGAAATCCTGCCGCTTGGCAGGGATCACAAGCTGGCTAACACAAGTGCCCAGTTACAAATGGGTAAGGAAGGGAAATGTAACCATTCATGAAGGGATTTTGGAGAGATCTGGGCCTGGAAGGTTAACATGTGCCTGTGGTTGTATTAATGTGTATTCCAGATGCTCAGAGGATGAAGAAATTGGAGCCTAGGGAACAGTGACTTTAATAATGCCACCCACATCAGTTTATGAAATGAAGAAAATATTTTTCTAAACCGATAAAGTTTTTAAAGTAAATAATTGAATTGTTTTATCAGGCAAATAATGTCGCATTGTTGCATTTCAAGCTAAATTAATATATTTAAATACTCAAGAAATTCATTTTATTTAGCTAGGATGCATTAAATTGATCAAAGGTGACAGCAAAGGCATTCTAATGTTACACAAGATTTATATTTCAAATGAATGCTGTTCTTTATAACTTTCTATTCAACAAAGAATCCTGAACAATCACATGTATCATAATTTACCCAAAAATATTTAGTAGATCAACTTTTTTCAACACTGATAATATATATATATTTTTTCTTGAGCAGTAAATCAGCATATTAGAATGATTTCTGAAGGATCATGTGACACTGAAGACTGGAGTAATGATGCTGAAAATTCAGCTTTGCATCACAAAATAAATTACATTTTAAAATATATTCATATAAAAATACAGTTATTTTAAATTGTAATAATATTTCAAATTATTACTGTTTTTATTGCATTTTTGATCAAATAATACAAGTATTTCAGCATCTTACCAGCCACAAACTTTGGAATGTGTATGTTTGAATGTAAATATGTCTTCATTGATACAGAGTTGACTGTTTTACAGTTTAATTTGACATTGCAAAATAATTTAATGCTGGTGTGTCTAGAAATATCCATATAGCAATTATACATGTATACGTTTAGGATACAAACTCACGTATAATAGGGACACAAATGGTACCGGTTTTCCACCCTCACTTCTAAAACAGCTCAAATTAATTGAGATACAAAATTAATTTTTTTTATAGGTAACATTGTCTTAGTGAGGTAAATTTATGCATAGCAATTGAGTGTCAAAATAAAATCAATATGTCAAAATACTGTAAAATGAACAAGTATTTGGTTTAGATTGGCTTGAAGTCTGAAAACATGGTTGCCAGGCTGAGTGGATCCTCCGGCATGTCCAAGTAATGAAACCTGCATTAAACCATTTTAATTGCTCTGAATGAGACACTCCTCAGACCTGTCCTGATTTTTTATTAGGTTGAAGAGTAGTACATGTTCACTAAAATGCAGTGTGGTGGACTAATGCATTTTTCATGTAGCCGTCTATCTTTCATCCACAGTCCAAATAGCAGTCGATTGATTCCTCCAGGTGTACGGTGTCATGGTAACTTTGCTTGTTTAGATTGTAACTATCGTAAAAATCTTATAAACACAGAGATATGCAGAAACATGCCAGTCACTTAAAAATAGAAAAAATCACATTGCACCATAACTTAACTATTTCGTTGCAACAGCACAAGGATTGTGCAATAGTGCAAAGGAAGGTTAATTTCAGTCTCCATATTTAAAATGTTTTGATCCCACACATCCTGTAAATAATCTAAAGCTCAGCTAAAACTGCTGTCCATCATGACGCCAGTCGACTGGCTGAGTGATTACAAACATTTGCGACACCATCCTCACAATCTCACTCCTTTTATGTCAAAACTATATATACACATCGCAATACATAAAACATGATGCTCCTCTTGGAAACTGCTAGTGCATGAGCACATTCTGGAATGCAATCATCCGTCGTAGTCAGTCATTTGAGAAATCTTCATTGCGGAAGATCAAGGTCGTGGCACGTTGGGAAGCTTTTGTACGGGCACAGCGGGCCCCTTGTTCGAGGGACCCCATTCTTTGGGTTTGTTTGGAGAGGCTAATTCCCAGCTCCATTTTTATCCATTTGCTGACATCGGTTCACCTCCAGGCTTACTCCTGAGGCACCTTTGAAATATTGATAAAAAGTCTTATTTTCAGAATCCAAACACACAGGACATGGCGAGGGCTACACAGCGTAGCACTTTTAGCCCTCATATTTGAGAGTTGCTCTCATTGAGCATCTCCAGCTCAGAAAAATATTAACCACATGAAAGGCCAGTGCCTGGCCCGGGCTGTTAGGTCCTATGTATATTTAACTGAGCAGATCTGTGCGTAATAGCACTTGAAATTCAAAGTGCTATCCAAATATGTGTTCATAAAATATAGATGATCTTGATTTTTCTTAACCGCGGCGATTGATGTAATTGACGGCCTTGGATATATTTTATTAAGTGAATAATACAGTACAGTTTAAGAAATGATGAAAGATTTAGGAAATTATTTTGAGTCTAGTCAATAGTGCTTAATTGGTAGCCAGCAAATGTGTAGGAGGGATCAGAAGGATGCCAGGTTGCATTTAACCTGGTTAACTGCATGTATGCGGTCTTATGATGTTTTTGCCTCATTCTGAATGAGAATGATTGACAGTAAATAAAAACTTTCCAGACATCGTGAACCCACTTTTTAACCATTTAATCTTTAAAAGTGAAATATATCTTCAGATCAAGTATATCGCATGCAGAGCTTGTTAACAGATTTTACATTAGGTTTTGAGATGTGCAGGAATCAACTAGGAACCTATCAAATAGTTTTACAACTAGACTATTGCGAAGATGCTTATCACCTAGAGAAAATCACCGTTTACTCTGAACCCATACGGTAGGTGTAAACAGATGAAACCTTCGGAAAACTAAGTCAGTGACTTGTGAATCACACATGCTGCCAAATTGCCCACTATTACCAGGAGAAGATTACAGGCACACAAGCATCTGTGAGAAGGGATTACAATGCTCCACTTGAAGAAGGATGACAGTACTACACAACGATTTCTAATAATAAATTATATCAACTTCATTTTTGTATTCTCCTGTTTTTCCTTTAAAAGATCTGATGCTCATACATATATTGTATAAATGGTTAAAAGACATTAAAAAAAAATTATTTGTACAGCTATAACTAGGGTTTTTGATTTAATGCATTTATATATAATTATCAAAAAAGCAATGAAAAATAATGTTTATGTAACTAGAAAGCACAAACTTAAGTACATGTATCTAAAGCATTTGAATTATCTGCATTTGAGGTCTTTTCTCATGAAATATTGATGTATGTGAATATTTGTGATTCATTTCATTAATCACTGTATTGTGTACTTAATTTGATTACATTTCATTTGACAGCCCTTAAAACACTATTCTCTGTTTTTTTCTGTTTTCAGCATACGAGCCAGATGATGATGGTGGTGTCCAAGAGTCAATCATAGGGGAGGAGGGCGAAAATGAAATGCAGGCGGAGGAGGAGAATTCTGAGAGGCCCACTTCCAAGGACAAAGAAGGCAAAGACATAGACAACAAAAGCAGCTACAGCTTCCAGAACTCTCCGGTCAGTGTCCTCTCCAACCAGGAGGTTGAGCTGGAATCCCGTCTGAGCGATGGCAGTGACAGACTGTCTGACTTTAAGACCTCACCACCAGGAAGTCAGAAGGACACAGAGAGCCAGGGCTCAAAACTGAAAGATGACATGCACAGTAGCCTGGAGAAAATGAGGGCTGCTTATGCCAACTTCCTTTCAGACTCATACTGGTCAAAGATTGGACTAGATTTGAAGGTTGCTAACACTGGCAGCAAAGCAAACTGTGACAGCACCAACGGGAGCACCAAGAGCATGTTTGACTGGCACCAGGACGCACTTTCAAAAACCCTGCAGCAAACGCTGTCCCCGAAACCTGTGTCAAAGCCTAATCTATTCAGCTCTGTCCACCTGTACAGGCAAAGTAGCAAAGCGTGCGGTGCGGTCTTTACAGGCGCCAGCCGGTTCCGCTGCAAAGACTGCAGTGCGGCATATGACACCCTGGTGGAGTTGACGATACACATGAACAAGAGTGGCCACTACCAGGATGACAACCACAAAAGACAAAATATCGCCTCCACTTCATCATCCAAGAACCGAAAGAGGAGCCTTCAACACATGGAAGGCAAGGAAGATGCACAAAAGGTGCTGAAGTGCATGTTCTGTGGCCACTCTTTCGATTCTCTACAAGACCTAAGTGTCCACATGATCAAAACGAAGCATTACCAGAAAGTGCCTTTGAAAGAACCTATTCCAGTAATCACTCCCAAATTAGTCCCACCAGCAAAGAAACGTGCATTTGAAGCCATAAGACCTTGTTCACCCGACTCCACCACAGGGGCTTCAGGTTACAGTGAGGCACAAAGGTTGTCTGGCCTCGCCAATGCTCCCAACAGCCGCTATGGCTATCAGAATGGTGCTAGTTACACATGGCAGTTTGAGACATGCAAATCTCAGATCCTGAAGTGCATGGAGTGTGGAAGCTCTCACGAAACGCTCCAGCAGCTCACCACTCACATGATGGTTACCGGCCACTTCATTAAAGTGACAAATTCGGCCTCCAAGAAAGGCAAACAACTAGCCCTCGATCCTCTAGCAATAGAGAAAATGCAGACACTTGCTGAACCAGCAGTGAACGAACTTGAAGGAGAAAAGGTTTCTCCAAAGAGCACAGCATCTGGTGACTCTGAGAGGGCTACTCCAAGGGACTTGTCACCAGACAAAACTGAAAAGAATGGAGAGAAGGACAACAAACAAGATGAGGAGGACCGGAAGTCCACTGAAGCCAATTTCAAGTATCCCTACTTGCGAGAAGAAGACCTTGAGCAGGGCTCCAGTGGAGGCGGTGACATTCTCAAGTCTTTAGCAAACACGGTGGCTTCAGCAATCAATAAAGCTCAAACAGGGACCCCCAGCTGGAGCGCTTACCCCAGCATTCATGCGGCCTACCAGCTATCAGGGGTGATCAAGACGGCCTCCTTTTCCTCTTTTCCTCCCATCCAGCTCAAGCAGAATCTCAACCACAAGCACAGAGCCATCGCACCCAAGGCGAAGTTCTATCAGGGACTTCGGGGACTTGAAAGTTTCCAGGGACATCACAATTCGGACATCAAAAAGGAGAGGGGTGGCGCATCTGACGGCAAAGAGAGCCAGAGCTGTAGGTTTGATCTGGTGGAGAATGATGACAGTGATTGTCAGGATGATTCCTCCTCCTCTTCAAAGCTGGATGCAGACTGTGTAAGTGAAGAGAATGACACAATCAAAGGGAAGTTGAGCCCAGCTTTCTCTGACAGAGGGAACCCGTCACCTAGCCCCCCTGCCAGCAATGGGCACAGCAGTTCTTCAGAGCTTGTCAGAGACTCCCAGGAAGTCCTTAGCATAAACCCTCTAAGCGCACTACAGTCTGTCTTGAACAATCATTTGGGTAAAGCAAACAAGCCCAGGCCCGAAAGCATCCTCTCCCATCACACACAATCCTTCTTTTCAGAACTGAATAGAGGTTATTAAGAATACATTGATGTAAGTCTTTGCACCCTGTTCAAATGCACCACCAGTAATGAAATGTATTACTGCTTGAGACATAAATGCTGATGTTTGCATGCAATAGCTCTGGCTATGACTACTATTTATTTGTATGATATGGCAAGTTTTAACTGTATTACGTTTAACAACAAATTGATCGATGCATTAACTGTAATTTGCAGATCTGATCATGCACTTGTGTGAACACACAGGCGCTCAGACAGGTAGCCAGACACACATTAAAAACATTTACTGAAATGTACAGTATATTTGCTCTGTAAAATGTTTGTGTCACAACGATATAACAGAAAAGCACTTTAATAAAAGTTTAATCATGTTTAGGTGCAGATTCAGTGTGTGGGCTTACAGATTTGGACAGGTTTGATATGAGGAAGTTTCACATTAATGTATATTTAGCATTGCAGAAAAAAGTGTCTCATCGGAAAATGCTTAGTGAGACAAAAGAGCACTGCACCTTTTATACCAATACAAATAAAGCATTAACATTTTCTAACAGTCTACAAGTCTTCACTTCAAATCCATTCTTATTGACTGGATCAAAGAAGAATCTTTTTTTTTAAATATTTTTTCAGTTTGTTCTTTCTTTCTAGAACAATTGTTTTTATTATATTTACCATTTAGGTCTTTTTTTTTTTAAGAACTGAACAATAAATCCAGGTAGCTTTCTACTAAACATTGAAATGTTCTCAGGACATTTTTTTAATAAATGTCAGGTCAGGGCAGGTTGTCACGTGTTTTAAATGTAATTTTTGAGATAAAAATTAAATTTTTGATCTTTCATGCTTTTTTTTCCATAGTTTTATTGTTAATAAAAGGCTGTTTAATGTCAGATTGCACCCCACACAACAAAAGGTGTTCAGAATGAACTGTATCTTTTTTTCAGGGAAATGGTGGAATTATTCAGTTTTCATTGTTTTTGTAGCCAGACTAAACTACATCGTGAAATATTCACTGGAGAAAAAAAAGAATATCAACTAGCCCCATTCTCACCTATAACATTTAGCCCTGATGATGTCACTTGGCTATCGAGAATCACATATGATCCACTTAAACATTCCCTCAGCTTACAAAACTATGAAAAATTATAATTACCCTCTGAACTTGCAACATTTTATGCGATTTCCTTACTTTTTTTAGCAATCAAGCTACCAATTACCACTCCCCATCGTATCTGTTTTATAACAGGAAAGTGACATTTGATAGTAAATGGGAGAAAGCACCTGGTGATTTGTGCATCCTGACAGTGGCGTGCCCTCCATTGTTGGAAATGAGCAGGCAATCACGATAGCTCATCAGATGACTCCTAATGCAGTTAAAGTATTCCGCAATAATTCCTCCTTGAATTTATAATTACAGCCATAGAGCTCACACCTCAGTGCACAGATTAAAGCCATAAATTATTTAGCGCCTTGCCTCACCGATGGATTCCTGATTCCCTCCGTTGAGCCATTATGCTTCAGAATACCAACTTCCTTTAAATGGAAGCCTGAGGATGATTTAAGATAGGCTGAACAATATGACAAAATGAACGCAATATTCCGGTCATTTGTGTTTCTTAATTAAAATTGAGAGCATGCCTCTGAAGTGTCACGGCCGTGGTAACTCACAATTGAGTCATTTAGCCTTTGCGGTTAATGGCGAAATTTGAAACGACCCTGCCAATGGATGGGCACGTGTGATGGGGGAACATTTGAAATGGTTTTTGAGGTAGCCGCTCAATGTCAGAGATTCACATTAGAGGCTTGGATCTTTTTCGTCATTGTAATCGGGGAGGAAATTAGCTGTTTCTAATATTAATTCAGAACAATAATTCAAAGTCATTTGAGATTTATTGCCACATTAAAGGCGAGCTCCAATCGGATATACAATCAGGGGTTTAAACAACCCCGCAATGAATTAACTGTATCTCTTATGTTTATACGGGATGGCAGTGAAAAAATTAAAAGCTGCACCACATGCTAAAAGAACAATAGGATGAGAGTAAATGAACAAGCGATTATGCTGATTATTACATTACTGTCCAGATAAATATTGCTGGGCAATTACCAAAGGCCTTTTTAACTTTTTTAACATTAGTTAGTGTGTAATGTTGCTGTTTTAGCATAAACAATATCTGCAAAGTTACGAAGCTGAAAGTTCAATGGCAAAAAAAAAATGTCAGAGAGTCGTTAAGTGTCACATGTCAAATGAACAGCAAAATAATGGGGGACCATGGAGTGAAATGTTTGGAAAATGACTTGTGTTGGAACATTTCAACAGTTTTCTACTCTAAGAGACGGGTTAAAAAGTGAGCACGTCATTTAACCTGGGACGCCAATTATTTATGAATTAGATTGCAAATAGCCTGTATCGGGACGGCCCGTTTGAGCAGGGCATATGGGCTGTGTTTTGAGCTTTGGGTCAGTGAACCCCGGCTATGTTTACAGTATGAGGGGGAAAGCTGAATCCTGATGGAGTCACAGCTAATTCATATCTCCATGAGTGACAGATAACCTGAGGGCTACCGGCCTTACAGCAGGACCCATTACATCCTCCTGGCTCGCGTGCTCACAGATGGCCTGCACGTGACTGCTGGAGTTGGCACACACACTCACTCATGCACGCATTAGCTCAGATATAGACATGCCAATAGACAAGACTGTCAAAATAGATTGAGATGTACCAACAACAGTAACCCGAGGCCTTTTGGGCTCCATTTAATAGAAACACATAACTGATGTTCCATTTTTCCACTGTCAGCATCAGGAACGCCGCTGATAAAGGCATTTCATAACCAATAGATGCATGCTCACATTTATACAGCACTGACATGCTTTATTCATGCACATATCACAGTCTGCATCAGTCTTACATCACATATATATATATATGCACACATTCAAGGAAATTCATTTTATATTGTTTTATATATTTAAATATAGATAAACAGATAGATACCCACCACATTAAGATTAATTTGATTAAAGATGAATTTGAGTTGATTATATAACATTTCATGTAACAGTCTTTTAAAAAAGCGAAATATATTATACTCTTAATATATGTGCATATATAGGTTTACGAGTAATGCATACTGAAAATTTGAATGTTATTTTCTTAAATATTAAAATCATTTAATATATTTTGAGTCTCATTCCATTTAATCTCCCATTCGAAGCATAACTCTGCTTTTTTGTGGTCTCTTTGCTAAATTCATAATTCATAATAACAAGTAACCAAACACCGTATTGCAACATACTGCAAACCCCTCAGAACACCTTAGCAACCAGATAGTAACACCCTGGCAACCACCAAGAACATCTTAGTGTCATGGTCGGGAGTTTTGCATGCACAAGCACATCATATTTTCTTTAACAAAACAAAACCAAAAAAATAAGTAAAAATGGACATTACTGCAAAGTAGGCTTGCCAACGTCTTTTGGAGATTTTGTCATTTCCCCCTTCAAGCCGACAGAAGCTGTACTTGACTGGAAATAGCTGCCGGAGGCATTGGCAAGATGGCCGCTGACTGTTCTGACTCGCTTCGGGATAGTATCTGCTCCTAAAACAACTCACCGTACAACCGTCCCACAATGCCCAATCTGCCGTGGTTGTGTTGAGATGGCGCACGGGGGGCGAGACTGCTGTCTGTGGCAATAGGCCATGTTCGGCACATTTCTGCTTTGCTAGCTAGCAACAGCTGGAGCGAGCAGTCAGATGGTCGTCAGGAATCAGTATGGCAGCCGTGATTGTGCTGACGCCGGCACAGGGCCTGGCCAGGAGATCAGTGCCCAATGAAAAGGTGTGATTTGTTGCTTTTAGATTTGGGTGATGTCAGCTCCAATCTGAGGCAGCTCTCTGGCCCTCGGGCGAGTCGCTGTGACACGACCACATACTGATGAAGTGCTGGCAATCGGGACCCAGTTCTTTCATCCGGGCTGTAATGGAGTCCTAAACCGTTGCACAATCTCTCATTCAGATGTGCTATTGACATTCGCTCGCCTTTGAAGAGAAAAAATAATGGGTGTCATTGACCCCATACATCTCTTTGCAGTGTAGAAGTGGCTTGCGATGAGCACAGCTTGATTATAGTTTTACACCCAGACGTTGTGAATACAAGAGGTCAGGAAAAAGGTCTAAATAATCACATGTATGTTAGTGAATCTTTCCAAATGTTGTGATTATAAGAGGTTTTGCTGGAGTTATTAGTATTGAATGTGCAGTACAAAGAAGTGTAATGAGATGCTTTCATCACTTTGATTTAAGATTGGCAAGATGGGACGTCTGTCTTTATGCTGTCTGTTTTTTTCATGGCATTTCTTTGTTCAAAAAATACGCTTCAGATGTGTAAATCAGGATCTGACCAGGCAGACTAGGAATTCTGCGATACATTTGAATGATATCCATTGTAAATTAAAGAGAGATAGTTTGACTAACCGTGATTTGTTATGAAAATAAAATAAAAGGTTTGTTGATAATGCAGGGTTAGGTCAAATTTCTCATTCCGATTCTTTTCACAGGATGTTGAATTGGAAATTGAACTGAAATGACAAGAAGAGGAATTTATTGAATTGCTGAAGTTTTGAGACATAAATAATTCAAGTTTTGAGACAAATCATTTGACTAATTATACATATTTAATCCTACAGTTACAATACAATTTCTCTTATTAGCCATTTCTGTAAATACTGATAAAAAAATCGTTGAATAAACAACATAACCAAGTTTATAAAAAATTATTGAAAAGTCCAAAATTCAATCCAATGTAATGGTCCATAAACTGAAAGTTAATAAAATAATATTTATAATATCCCCAGTTGTCTGCGCATAATATTTACTGGTAATTTATACTGAAAAAATGTTAATTTAAATGTTATAAATAAACATTGTTATTATTTTTTTTATTATTACGCCCATTTTAACTCCTTAAATCCAAAATCAGTTTAAAATTATGCATTGTGTTTGCCTTTCAGAAAAATATTGAA